TAGCTGGGACCACAGGCGCCCGCCACAACACCCGGCTATTTTTTGGTTGCAGCTGACATTGTTGTTTGGCCGGCCCAGGCTCGATTCAAACTCGCCACCTTGGGTGTACGCGGCTGGCGCCTTAGCCGCTTGAGCCACAGGCACCAAGCCAAACCCCACAGTTTACCTTTCCCTATGCATCACACAAGAGGAACAATTATAGCAATAAATTACATTACCAAATTCCTACAAAGACTTTTCCTGTGACTAAAATGACCCTCCCAAACATAAGTCAGTTTCTACCTCTCTATTTTATTTTCTTCAAAACAAGCAACACTATCTGAAATAATCTTGTCTCATTTAATGGTTAGTCTGTTTTCCCTCACTAGAATGTTAAGTCCTTGAGGGCAGGGAATGTCCTGTTCACTAATGTATCCTTAGCACCTACAACAGTACCTGGCACAAAATGCCCAGTAAGAAATTATTGATTGACTACCATTATTGTTACACATCTACATAACCATCCTTTAGAATGATCAGAAATATCTTGGAATATGCAATAAGGCACTGATAAAACCTAAGAATTATAAAAAAAGATCAACAGCAAATTATCTAACTAAAGTATTTTGGTTTTGTGGTTAAAAATAATGTCCACTTTTTCAACTAGAACCATAGCCTATGATCACAGTCCTCATATATCACAGCATATTAATACATATATAATACAGAGAAGTCAAAAACTACTATATTTTAGCAGACAAAATGTGATCTTTCTTAACATAAGGAAACTATCCCAAAATGTTTCCACTATGATACTGAATAGAAAGGAGACTTACCATTAGGAAACTGTGCAGAAGCAAATCTTGTCAACAAGATACCAGCTCCTTCAATTAAAGCTAGGAGAATGCCACCCATTGCAGCTGACCCAACCATGGCCACTGGTCCATCTGAAGACAGAAGTAACAAAGACATTTGTTTGATAGAAATTCTAGTTTACTGTAAAAGACAGTAAAGGAGAAAGCTATGTATATGGCTCCCTCCATTTCCAAACTCTTGTTCTCACTGTCTAAGACCTAGTCAGCAGCCTACGGCACAGGGGTCAATCAGCCCACTGCCTGTTTTTGTAAACCAAGTTTGATTAGAACACAGTCATGCTCTTTCATTTATGTAGTTATCTGTGGCTGCTTTCAAGCTATGACAACAGAATTGAGTAGCTGTGACAAAGACTACACAGCTGCTCAAAGCCTAAAATGTTTACTATCTTGCCTTTTAGAGAAAAAGCTTGTGAGCCCCTGGTCTAAAACTAGTAAGCCTAAAGGAATTCTGGGTTGCTCTCTTTCCCAAAGATCCAGAAGACTGTTCTAAGCTCTTTATTCACACCAACTCTATGTAGCAGGTACTTTTATTAAGTCCAGAATATATATATATTTTTTTAGACGGAGCCTCAAGCTATCCCCCTGGGTAGAGTGCCATGGCATAACACTCACAGCAACCTCCAACTCCTGGGCTCAAGCGAGTCTCCT